CCTGTTGGACGTTATAAGACCAATTATCACAAAAAATCACGTCACTGGTTTCCGTCGGCTTGTCTGTCTATCAGTCGGTCTGTCTTTTCGCTAGTCCTTGGCCCCTCTATAATTTGGAAGGTACTGATCAGGTTTAAATGAAATTTTGAACAAGGTTAGCACTATACCAAGAACGAGAAACTTTTCTTTTTAAAAGTCGATCCAGGAGTGGCGGAGCTACGTTCAAGAATCGAAAACAAATCGCTCAAACTACGTTTCTCTTTGACGTTTTGGAAGTACTTTGAGGGCTGAATAACTAGAGGCAGCGGGTTGCAGGGTGTTGGGAAGGGTATATCTAATTTATTTGGGCTTAGTATATTTGTACGCTTACCTCGATAATTCCTGGTGCCTACTAAACATATTTCACACATAAATTTTCCTGTAAAATATACCGTAATACAGCATAATATGAATATTTCCAGTACCTCACGCAACATTGTAAACGCAACGAAAATAGCTTTTGAATCCGTCGTGACCTGAGCGCTGACAGGATTTTATCATGGCAACTCCGATTAGATCGCAATGTTGCTAAATGAAAGGGAATTAGGATTTACTGTGTGTGCCTATTTGTCTGATCTACTGAATTCTTTTGTTATATATGTTCATATGTAGTTAACGTTTTTCCAGTAGGGTCTAACTTGTGCCGAACACCATCCCTTATGATCTGATGACTGCGCTGCGGGGAACATACTTGACGCAGTTTTCTTATTGCAAGCTATTATTTGAACCGTTTAGGCATGCAGATATCTAACCAAGTATGTCTTATTTATTTGCAGGAAGAGACCAGGGAAAACATCACAATAAGCGAGCTCAGTTTTGTACCCACTACCGAGGACGATGGAAAGTCCATCACCTGCCGAGCAGAAAACCCAAATGTCACTGGACTTTTCCTGGAGACTTCGTGGAAAATAGACGTCGTTTGTAAGTATCGTAGTTCATAAACAGGTTCTTTATACTGACTGAATGGGATCTGCTTGCTTTCTGACTGTATGACACGAGCAACCACGTACAGCTTTGTTTCATTCTTGTTTGCAACTATGTGGTCCGATGGTCTACTGAATAATATAGTATTAATATCCAGTGCGCAAGGAGATGATGCTGCCACCTGAGGGCAGTTCGTGAAAGCGACCCTTACGACTGTAAAGCAGAAAGCCCAAACGCTACGCCGCGTCTACGGAATAGTGTTTTGTGTTACAAACTTACTAACCCGGAAGAGAATAAAAAATATTCCCAAAACCTTATAATGGATGTAGATTCGGATTTAGGTAACTGAAATAGTCTTTTGCAGCATCACGAAAGGTTTCGGATCCTGCATTAGGCAAGTACTGAAAAACAATTGAGAAACTTGTTGATTTCTGTTTTTTTTTGTTACGGTCCTGTAGATATTATATAAAGACATTTTTGTAGCCTGCTGAATAAGCTACAAAAGTAGTAACTAAGATATTTTCATATCTACATTCGCTTATGAACTACAGTCAATTTTTTTAGTCCTGTGTTTAGTCCATACTCAAACGCGGTTAACTGAGTACAAAAAGCGTTGTACGAAAGTTGACCTTTGGTCTACACCAGGCAAGTGGGGATATTTAAATAGAATTATTTTCAGGAAAATATCATTTCATTGCAATTTGTAATCGCTAGACCCTATTCAAATGCTACCTACGCCGCCTTAAGTTAAATGCGGTATCTAAATAATCAAATCCTTGCGTTATTATTGCCCAAGTATCTGGGCACGCAATAATGCAAATAAGAGCGGGAGAGGTACGCGACCGAGCAGTTGCTCATATTTTAACGCTGCATAAATGCCGTTCGTATATAAAATATCTTTAAATATTAGCAATACTACCCACTTACGGACTACAAAAAAGAAAAATAGTTGCTGCTCTCAGAAATTCAGCTTCCGTCTACAAGCCAAATGTTCTAACACTGCACCAAAGTATAAACTGGTACTTATACAGGGTGTAAACGTTATGATAGTCATTATTTAAATGGGTGATAGAGGGCGTTAAAAGAAGCAAAAAGTTTCATATAACATGGGGGTCAAAACGGCATTCCTTTACAGATAAGCGACTTTAAAGTAAAATAAAATCTGACAACGCCGCAATGCCAGGCGCAAATTACGACGGAACGCAGTGTAAATAAAGATGGAGTTTGTTATTTTGGCTCTTAGGTATTATTTCATTATTTGACAATGTACTCGTAAAATGCAAGCAATTAAAAAAAACGGACTTACCACTAACTGTTTCAGCACTTCACCTGATCTGTGAAAGTTTATTGAACGTATTACAATAACCCAGGAACATAATTTTGATACATACATTGTTTTTCTTTTTAAAACCCACACTGCACTTTTTTGTATTTAAATGAGGTGTTCAAAATGTCGTCCTCCACTTTCCACACATTTTACATTACGACGAACCCAGTTTCTTCTTACCCTAGGTCCTCGAAGTTGTCCATTTATTATTTCAGCCGCATTAAAATTTGTCTCGCGAAGTTGTGCTTCAGTTGTTATTGGACCAGCCCCATAAACCACTCCTTTAAGTTCTCCCCAATACCATTTTCGAGGATCAGGAGCCTTTCGACCGATCCAGCGATTTGGATAATGTTCATTCAAATACTGAATGACGCCTCTAAAAATGTGTGGTGGTGCCCGTCATGAAGAAACCACAAATTCTGTCTCCGTTGTAATGACATGTTGTCTAAGGTCTGTTCCAAAAGTTTTGGTAGGTTATTGGCTAGAAAGCTAAGGTATCCTTCTCCTGACAACTTTGGGGGTAACTCGAAAGGGCCAATTACCTGATCGTCAAGTATACCCGCCCAAATATTTATTTTAAAACGTTTTCGGAAATGACCTTCACGAATGGTATGAGGATTTTCTTGGGCCCACGTGTGAGTATTATGGAAATCTAATAACCCGTCTCACGTAAAAGTGCATTCGTGCGTCGCTAGAATGTAAAAACATCCGGATTTTCAATGTTTTTGCGCAAAAACCACTGACAGAATGTTAGTCTGCGAGGATAGTCTTCTGGTAACAAGACCTGCCTCGTTGTACATGGTAGGGATAAAGGAAATTTTCCCGTGGGATTCTATGGACAATGGTATGAGATAGTCCTACGCGGCGACCTAATTCCCGAGTGCTGATATCTGCATTGATTTCCACGATATTTAAATTTTGTTCCTCCTGCTCTACAGTAACCTGTCTTTCTCGAGTGCGGATATTAGTGGGCTGAACACTTCATGTATCTAAAAGTCTTTGGTGCACTTGCACAATGTTCTTGTGTCTGGGTGTATCTGTTGGCGAAATCTGTCGCGATAAATTTGAGCTGCAAGACTTGAATTCTGACGAGCTTCACCGTAAACTAACAACATGTCGGCGAATTCTTGCCTCGAGGACATTGTAAATAATCACGACGACGTACGCGAACAAAAAAAAAACAACACGCCCGATGCTCTGCTCGAAAAAACGATAAAGTAGTTTATCTATGCAAAACGATAACTAACCACTGTTTGCGATCGATTGCCGGTTCGGTAAGAGTGATGAAAGACCGACGCGCTGTTATCATGTGTGTTTTAAATATTTAATTTATGAAAATTACTTACTGACTACAAATTTTTGCTTAACTTAGAAAAACTTGATGCCATTTACTTGTTAATTACCCAATTCAGAAATGTTTCAGATTAGATTATAAAATTTAGTGAGATTATGGTGAATGTGGTCGATATAAAGCACTTAAAGTTGTAAACTATTTAGACAAAAATCTATTGACCTTTAGACCATGGGTCATATGAACTTTTTGACTTGTTCTGACCCCCCTATTACCCATTTCAATAATGACTACCACAGCGTTTACACCCTGTATTTTGGAACTTATTATCGAGGACATCGCTTTTTTATTCCAATCCGCATCTTTTCTGCGTCATTGCGGATTCGTTTTAATCTTACCTCTCCATACATACAACCTGAGCAGGCCTGATATTTTTAGAAACTATTCTTAAGTATATTCTTGAATTATTATCCGGAACTACAATAAAAAAAATTACAGTTTTTTTACAAAAATATTGTCCCATTCCTGTCCATGAAATATGAATATTATTCGAATAACACAACGTGTAAAAAAATACCGCTTAGTAACTTTAAGGAAGTACACTTTCAGCTCCTCATTTGGCTATTATTCTGGTTTCATATTTATTTCTGTTCAAGAAATGGTTAAATAATGTCAAGAAAAATTTGCTTGAAAATTACTAAAAAAAGCAAATTTTCATGTGCTACATTTTCTTTTGGAGTAACTACAATTATTGTACAATAAGTGGAAAAAATAAATCTGCAGATCTTCGGAATGGGAAGCTTTAAGAAATGTGAGGTCTAAAATAATGCTTAGTTCGAAAAGAAAAGCTTACTTTGAAATATATGTTTCTATCGGATACACTTTTGGCGCAATTTTAATATGTTCACGTTAAAATTCAGCTTTTTCTTTACAACTCGTGTAATTTCCATCAACTTGACATATATCTCAAAATACTATTTTATCAACGCATATTATGAGGATTTCCGAATGGCCTGATGAGAGCAAGAAAATTGACATAATCTCTTAAAGGAACGTAGATATGAAAATCTCGTAGAAACAATTCTTGAAGCTTATTTGTTAAGCTACAAAATTCGTTTGAGGACAATTTTTCTATATAGAATATTTACAGGGTCGCAAAAAAAAAATCGTAACCAAAAACGTATTTCAAAAACTTTTCAATTCCGCCCGCGGTAGAATCCGGAAGTTTTCGTCATCCTGAAAAACAATATTTCAATGGCCTAGATCCAATTTTTATCTATCTTAGAATTCTTGTTAGGTTAGATTACTGGGCTGAAAACAAAAAAAAATACCGTGGGAATGGAAGATGTGACCGCACCCCTTTTACGTACTTGCAACAGCAACTGACCTTCTTATTCAAATTTCTGAAGAAGGAGCTGCCTGAGAAACTGACATTCGAGATTTATTTTAAGAAAAGGTCAAAGGCTTCAGCAAATGGGTGCTCTCGATTCGACATTGGTGTCGTGTGCAAAATATTCTCCCATGCGACACTGAAGTTTTCTTTTTTTGATTCTTGCCATCATGCATGCTGTCACTTTGGTAAGAAGAAGAAGCTGCTTTATTGTCATCTGCCATTCTGTCGACGGTGAAGAAATCCCCTGTAATATAATAACTAACAGAAACTGACATATACGTACTTTTCTCAAAAATTGAACAAATTAAAGAAAAATTAAAACGTATAACGTAAGAACAGCCTAACATGCTTACGGATACAAGACAGATTCATGGTTTTGTTGTCAATAGGAATACTATTTTAAAGACTAGCAGCATTACAGGAAAACGAGCCCTGGAAAGCCGAGGTGCAGTGCTGAGGTATTCTAATATTCAATGTATATACATATAAGGATCTCGTTTTGTGTTTCACTAGAAAAATTTTTTTTTAGTTACTTGGGTTTGCCAGTTGCGAGCAGTTTATAAAGGAAGAAAAAATAATTGAAATTAGTCAAATACTTGAGGTTCATCCACACAAGCTTACATGGTCGTATTTTCTTAAACCACAGGTGAATCTGACAACTGTTTTGAATTAAACTCGTTTTAGTGAGCTGATCCAAGCCCGGCTCGTAAAGAATATTACAATAATTAATAACCGAGAAAACAAGGGGTTTAGCTAGCTTTTTTCACAATGCTGAGGGCTGAACACATCTATTTGCAGATAAGACACGTAATTTGCAACAGAATCTTTGTAATACACTAGAAATACATATATTAAATCTTGAGTTATTATCTAAAATGACGCCATGTATCTTAGACTCATTACCGTTCACCTCTTAGCTCATGTATGATAACATTGAAGACGTGTTGATGATTAATCATGTGATCCAAATGAAGCGAATGGTCCCTCCGCTCATTTCAGAGCGCGAGGTCTGTTTTAGACCTCCATTGGACTGGGAGCAATGGATTTGTCGACATTCAGAACTTAGCAGAAGGCCTACCAAACATCAGCTGTTATCCTCTGAGCGCTGTTTCCCGCTTAAGCGATTGTCAGACGTATTCTCTTCAGCTTTAACCGCTCATAACCAGGTTGTGCTTTGACATCATAACCGCCATACAAAGGAGGCGAGGAGTATGTGGTTGAAGCTGGTTAAAGTTGGTTATACCAACGAGTTCGAATAGACCAGAAGGAGCCAAGCCTATATGTCTCATTGCATTAGTTTTGCCAATATTGAATATTTTTAGTGAATACTTTTGACTTGTTTGTATAGCATTGTCTACAAAAGTGAGAGCGTTGTATCAACATAATGATAATACTTAACGGTAGGAATATCTGCCTTCACTAATCTTGTACTGTTCTATGTAAATTATGTAAGAAGTCCCATGTCTTGAATTCGTCCAACACTACAATTTTCTGTAAACACTCGCACTTTCAGAAACAATACTAAATATACGAAATTAATGAAAGAACCATCAAAAACTGACATGTCTGATGTCAAGCTCACTTTAATCCTCACTTCAGACTAGGAGAATTATCTGACAAATCCTTAACTAGCTCCTTTTACCTAGTCTGTCTTCGTTTTGCATATGAATGGAATGACGCTTCAATTTTCAACGAACTCGTCAAGTTTTGATGTCTACTCACGTGAACAGCTGATCAGCACATAAGATAATTGTCTCTTAATACTATCCAACATAACTAGCGCCATCTACTTCTAGCCCTTCAGCTTACCCCCTCTGTTAGATTATCGATTTTTGTATAATAAACATGGCGCTCACTAAGTTGAGTAGTTTATCAAAATACTGGATAAAGATGAAGTAAATATTTTCGAGCATTGAAAAGTAACTCCTAAACACGGATATACGAGAGGCCAAAGGCCATCACAGCCTGTAATTATAAAACCATCTCGAGAATTTGATGGTTTTAATTTTTTAATTAAAATCCAGCATCACCTGCTACCTTGGCTTTTTTTTCAGCTCTGAATAATTTTTCTAGAATTCATCTCGCCTAGCTACAATAGACCGGTTACGGCTAGAATATTGAACAAAGAAGGCGCGCTTTAGTTTAATTTTGTTACAAAAAGGAATTGTATAAGGAGGAGGATCGAGCTTTGTAATAAAGAAGGTACCTGGAGGAATATTAATTGATCCTGGATAGATTAGGGAGGAAAATAATTTCTCAGACTTTTGTTGAACTATTGGAATGAGTCAGGAAGAATGTTCCTCTGAGAGCCAGTTTGGAGTTCAAGGAACTTCAAGATGGTTTACTGATAAGTATATACGATGATGAAGAAGATGGATTTTATTATTTTATTACTTCCTATACCAATTGACGGGGAGGTATTGTAACAGCGAAAAGTTCCCAGAAAGAGTATTATGATTTTATTACAAGGTTTCATTTGACTTGACCTGCTTGTTAGTATGTTAGTAGGAATGTATGTTAGCATGTGTGAGACAAATCTTGGAACTGAATTCTGAACGAGTTAACATTAACCAGTTTAGCTGAAATTTTGTACACACGTTTGGCTTGCGTGAAAATACAAAACGAGTGAACAGCCGCCATTTTAAATTCAATATTTCAGATGCTACAAAATGGCGGTTCATCATTTTCAGAGTAACCCCTATGACATGGGTACAAAATAAAAGGCCTGAGAAACTCAATAAGCATAGTGATGTCATTTCAAACGTAAAATGGCGACCACCTAAATACGTTTATCAAATGAAGGGGCTTTTAGGGAGAAACGCAATAAGCTAGTGATGTTATTCTAAGTCCAATATGGCAGCGATTTGCATTTTTGACATTCACCCATATGATATGAGTATCAAGTAAAGTGGATGGTGAGAGAAGCAATCAGCAACGCAAATTCATTCTAAATCCAATATGACGACCGTACCAAGATGGCAATAAACTATAACTATAAATAGTTATCATAGTCACCCCTATTATAGATAAGTATCAAATTGGAGGACCTTATGAGAGAAACATAAAAAGGCACCTCGGTATCATTCTATCAAAATATGGCGGCCACCGCAGGATAGCGATTTATAATTTCCATAGACACTACTATACTATAGCTATCAAATAAAAATACTTGATGAGTGTTACATAATACGCAAATTGACTTTATTTCAGATCAAATGTGGCGGCCGGTGCTGAATGTCTGGTCACCGCCATGATATAGACATCAAATGAAAGGGCTTAATCAGATAATAAACGAATAACGTCATTGTAAATTCTATATCACGATCTCCGCAACACATCGAGTTAGCATTATATGATATATATATCTACCGAAATTTTGTAATACAAATAAAGCAAGAACCTTTATGGAGTCCCACAAATATATGAAAGTTATACAGAAATTGCCATACCAGTTATTTGACATCATAAATACTAAATAGTAAAAAATAAAGAAATATGTTCTTAAAAACATGCTTCTGTTTAGCTGCTCATAAAATTAACTAAAAATTTGAAAATATTTTCTCCACTAAAAAATATTTAAACGATAATGAGGCTCATTCATCTCAAGTTTTCAAACAAAAGCGTGTTACGTTTTTTCTAATATTTTTAGTGGAACAATATTATTATATATGATATGTATTAATATATTTTAAAATTCTAGTTCACCTTATGAACAGCTAGCTACTTTTTAATTGGCTGTTATACGAAATGTACATCACCAAAAATTATGTCACTAATGTTCCTCGTCCTGTCTGTCTGTTTGTATGTCCTCTTGAATGATAACGGCTCAAAGGTAATATTTTTGAGCCTGATAAAACAAATATATGTTTTGATTCCAAATCTTCCGCAAAACTACTTATCTTTGTACTTAGACATAGGTTTGAAGCAACATGGCAGGAAACTATAGCTGGTCTCGATGGTGACGTTAGCCGATGATAGATAGATAAGTATGCTTTATTGTCTGAAGGATACAATCATCCTTAAAATTAAAGCTAACTTAGAACTAAACTATAACAATTACAGATGTGGATCTAAGTAGGTGAAATGTAGAATTCATACATGGTATAATATAGTTAACATATTACAAACTTTTTAAGCTCACGGCGGAATATCTTCAAACTGTTAATTCTTTTGATAGCATCTGGAAGACACATGTAAATTTAAAGACCATTATAAATGATTGAGTCTCTCAATTGTTTCAAATTTAGATTTATTTTTAAAAATAATTGTTGTCGTTTCCAAAATAAACAATGATGCTAATAGTTCGTTGGGAGCAGACGGACCAACAGGGAATGCTTAAGACTGTACTCGTCCTACGTTGTAACTAATTGTTCTTATAATGAAAGAAGTATTTGCTAACTGAATAAACAATATGTATACATGATCAGTAAAGTCTAATTCATGATCAGTGGGCGGTCCCAAATATTTGATAGTGTCTGTTTTGTGTATCAATTGATTATTTAAATTAAATAAAATCAAGAGATTATTTAAAAGTCATAAATTGTGTCTCAGTAACATTGAAAGTCGTGTAATTGGTGTCACCATTTTTTGATTGATCAATTTTTGTCTTGGTTTCACTTATATCTGTGTTCCCACAGTATAGCGTTATCATCTGCAGAAACTACGAATTTACCATTCATGTTTAGGTTTATTAAATCATTGATATACTCTAGGAAAAGGATCGGACCTAATATCGATACTTTATGTACCATTGCGTTTATGTTTTATATGAAATATGTCTTGTTAATTTTACAATTTGGGATCAATTATTTAAATATCTTTTGAACCAATTGAGTGAAGTTTGAGTACAACCATATTTGTTCAATTTATTTAATAGAATATCATGATTTACTCTATCGAATACTTTGGAAAAGTCGCAAAAATCCAAATTGGTTGTCACTTATAATTTTGTTGGATTTTAGAAAGTCTCAATATAATAACAGTATTAGACTTACAGGTCTACAATTTTTTGGTAAATCGCTTGGGTATCCTTTACAAATAGGAATAACTATTGATGTTTTTAAAAATTCTGCGGGTTAACAGAAATATGTATAGGTTTTGTGAGCGTATTAAGAGCACCAAGAGAAAGATTAGCTATAACATTTACAGAAATTTCATGCCTCGTAAACACTAGATGCTCTGACCAGAGTCACAATTGTGCCTGCTGGCTCTTTTTGGCCGATTCTAGTTGTATTCCCTTTTCATCCTTGTTTCCCTTCAGACTACACCCGTACCCAGATGTGATAAGCATATGATTTTACTTCAGTATTTTCGCTGCACATCCATTAGGGCCTGATGAAACCAAGTAGCAGAAACGTACGTCGCCCGGGTTACCGATCCTTCTACTTCTGCTCCTGTTCCCTTATTGCGGACATACCCACGGTTGTCCTTTGTTTTTCATCTAATTTTCCTAAAAACAACTTGCCTTTGTATAAGTCAGCAATTTACTTAGAGGCTAGTCCGTCCCCTCATTTAGATAATGAGATAGTTATTTTTCGTTGACACCGTCCTTAACGAGTTACCCTGTTGCCAAAACTTCCTTACAGTGCTGTTTAAGAGCCACTCAGGAAAAACCTATTACCAAAGGCGTACTCGAGGGACCCATGTCGCCCCTAAATTTTGTCCCACGTGTTCGATACACCCTGTATAAGTATAAAGGCTTACTTGCAAATAATGTATAATAATGAAAACGCAAATCGCATAATGGTGGACGAACAAACAACAAATGACGCAAGTTGCACAGGTGTGCGGTGTGGTAGATGGCTAGGCTACTATTCACACTAGGTTAGAACGAAATATCAATAAGATAAAGGGTTCTCTTTAGGGCAAGGATTCGGATAAGGACACTTGGATCTGATTAAAAGCTCGTTCAGGTTAGGTAATATGGGACCCTTTAAGTATTTGTTCAAGAACATGCGACTCTCAACATCCTTCCTTTGTTTCACACAGCCACTTGAAAATTCTGTTTCGCCTGCTTTGTTTTTGTTGGCAGAAACGGTAGCATGAGGGGAGGTATAGTATAAGTCGCAGCTTATTCTGTTCAGCCTTAGGGAATGTCACGACGCGTAAATGGAATGAAAGAAAAAATATTGTGGAGGGTATTTTGGCGAGTTGTCTTTGACTGCGAAACACCTCTACAGACAGTGAAAAAATACCTTGAGTTGCGTTTATTAGATGAAGGGAACAAAGTTGTATAGACCGAGAAAGGTGGCTCTGCTTCGTTCCAAGATATTCTGGATAGAAGGTGAAGGGATCAATAATTCAAAAGAGATGGCATTAAGTAAGTTGACTCAGAATTTCCCACGTCAAGATGTCATCAGTTCGTGAAGGACTATGTTTAGCACTTCGATCCCTAACCACCAAACCAAAAAACGGTTGCCTTATAAATAAGGGCACATTATAGATGTAATATTATGTCTTTGTGCTTTAGAATTAGGATAACTTTCATAGAATTTCAAATTTTTATCATTTCAGAAAAG